CGAGAAAGGTTTGAACCCTTGACACAATAAAATCACACAGATTGCACAGAAACGAGCGTATAATTTACCATAAACTTTTAGTGGCATAAGTTAATGACAAAAAAAACAAGAATAGAAAATCACACTTACACAGAATAATCAAAACATAGATAGAAACCTTTACAACACACACTCACATGAATGAACACATAATTTACTTCAAATTGATACTCTGAAATAATTACCCTAAACTACATTGAGAATTCCCTTGGAAAATTAATTATATCTAAACTTGTGCTATCCTAATAACATTGCACATGAAATCAAAAATTCAATTACAATCTCTCGCTTCAAGATATTATACATGTAAAGAACAAAATGTGTGAAGTGCACTACTCTAATTTACAATTTAATTGTGTCTGAAAATGGAGAAATAATGAATGTCTAAGAAGAATGTTTTTTAGGCAGGCAATAGCGCATCAAACGTTCCTACTATTTCGTAATTTTTGTTCGCACCCGTGTCTTCAATTTCTAACACTTTCCTATACTAGTTTTCCTGTCGACGTGAACTCTGACTATTTTCTGCGGATCGAACTGTTACCCGGGGTCGTAGACTTCCCACTTGGGCCTTGATGGTCATCGGCTGGTCGCTGCGGTGACGCCGCTGTCCCAACTCTGCGTTGTAAGACGAGCGGGATTCGCCTCTGCCGTCTGCGTTGCCTTCTGCGTCCTCTTCCGTTTTCTTCGTTGTCGATCGTCTTCTTCCTCGTCCCGCCGAGTCTCGGCCTCTTCTTCTTCTGTCTGCTACCGGCGCTCTGATACGTCCACGTTGCGAAAATGTGCTCTGCACTTTACCGGTATACTCGTGCAAGTTCTTCGCTCTGCTTGCTACTTTTTACTTTGCTAAGCCAGAACTTAATTTTTTCCTTCACAACGGGCAACTTTTACTTCCCGTTCTTGTTAATTGAAGAAACACTACTCTAATCTGCACTATCTCGCGGAACGACTAAACTAGAACGTCTGTTCGACGCTGAACACTCTACCTAGTAGTCGTTGCAGCGGCAAACAATATCTAAATGTTTTAATGAAAATGTTGAATCGTCGAACGGTGATCAAAAGCAGTTGCTTACTCGACGCGTGTGACAGAAAATAGGAGCTTCCGCTTGCTGGGTTGGTATTTATGGCGGGCGGCCTCGGGGAATTCTCGTGGGGGGGGCTTGCTTCCCCTCTCTCAACCTTCAAAAGAAAAACATAGCTCGCTAGTTGCATTCGTTTAGTAGGGCAACGGATACAGGCGCGCGTCTTTAAGTACCTTCTGCTTACGTCTGTATCCTCGCTGCCTCCGTAGTGTTCACACATGAGACGGTGGTGTTATGGGGTTGCACAATCCGCTAACGCCACATATATATATAATTGTGTGTACTGTATTTAATATTGAATGTTATAAAATTGTTAGTAGACAATAATATGAAAAGTAGGGAAAAGTACATTTTCTTATAATGTAAATTGTAAATCAGATTGTGATCGAATAATGACAACGAAATTGCACAGCGGTCTAAAAATATAATATACAAAATAAATATAAAAATAATAAAACAAAGAAAGTTTATAATTTATTTTATTTTACAGGTTTTGAGACCTTGAAATCAATACATAAAATGAAATAAATTGATTTTGAACAATTGTGACAAACACAAACAGATTTGTGTCTTTAATTCAGTGTCAGGTTTGAAATATATTATTTTTAAGTTTTCTCTACTGGCATTACCAATAAATGGCTATTGATTTTTTCAAAATTTCTCGCCCCACAGTTTGAGAGCCCCTGCAAGTGGAGGACACCTCAGAATAAATGTTGCAAACGTTTAGGGTATGAAAGGAGTCGAAGTGATCGCTTTCTGCATGGACATTTAGTGGGAAATTGCATATAACCGGAGTTAAATAGTTTTTAAAATGTGACATATGCCCCTGATTTTGGCAACTTCTTTTACGTAAATATGCGGTACGTCACTTTCTGATGCAGCCAGATCTTCATGTTCTGCCGAAAACCATGCGCACACGGGGTTGCGTGAAAATCAGAGGTAAATGTACAAATGATAAATCATGTCTTTCGTAAATTGCCAATTTTTCAATTACCTGTTTCTTTCGCAAAAAGTGATCATTCCAACCCTTTCAACACGGTTTGAAAGTATGTATATTTTATGTGGGTCATCTGTTCATCAGGTTAGCTTCCACGAAATGACGCTCGTGATGCCCATGAGCATAACAGCGAATGAGTGAGCACTTACAGATTATCAAAGAGGCCTTCGCGTCGGGCGAGCGGAAGATGTGGTTCTATGTTGCAACAGGCGTGCTGCGGGGAGGGAGGCGCCACGAGGGGTAGAAATTGGTCTCCCGGAGGCGCGCGTGGGTGCGGTAGAGAAGCGCTCCCAGAAGGTGGCCGTCATCATCCGCGGCGCCACCAGCAACTACCACCCACGCAAACCAAGCACGCTGCACAGAGGCTTCGGGCAGGGTCCGAGTGACGTGGAATAATAAGATAAATATAATGATTAATAAATTAATAAATAAATAAGTAAATAATAATAAATAAATAATAAATAAATAAATAAATAAATAAATAAATAAATAAATAATAAGTAAAATAATATGGATAAATAAATAAATAATAATAAATAATATACTATAAATAAATAAATAAATTCACACACTCAAATTAAAACTTAATATACAAACAATAATAATAAATAAATAAATATATAATAAAATACAATAAATAAATAAGAAAATAAAGAACGCTTGTGAAAGGCGTGGTCCACTTGGCGTTAAAGGACCAAATGTTTCGTCTACGGCTGGGGTATACACATCTTCAGTGGCGGGGGATTCACGGGAAAACTGTCCGGGACGGTGGATAGTTGGCGACTGTCACGAAAACTTTGGCCATCGAGCGTCAATGGTACTACGTCCTATCAACCCGGAAACAATATGTAATACTGACTCCTTCCGTGAAAGTCCTCGATGTTGTATAAATCGCCAGCGAAAGATCAACGATAAAACTTTTGCTATCCCACCATCGTTGACCGGCGAAATATATAAGGATTTGGAACCGATGGTGGCCGATTTTCAATACTAGCTAAATTGATCGAATGTAACCATATGCTGGAAATGATTCTGGCGATCACCTGTTTTGATCGTTAGTTTTCCGTTGTTTCTCCGATCATTTTTTTTTTGTTTCATTACTAAAGTAGGCTTCATCACCGTCATCCTGATGAGTCAATCTTAACGATTTGTTTTACCGGGAAGTCAGTGTCAGTGTATTAACAGCTTTTCACCATTATTGAAGGGTTTCAGCAAAAATCACATATTTTTAGAACTCTTCAGAATATTTAAGAATTCGGGATTACGATTAGGATAACTGTATCACTGTGTCGCAGACTTGAAGGTGGCTGTAAAACTCTGGTACCTATTCCTAGCGGCAAACTTCTACGACACAGGAAACAAATGTTGGTCCCATGATATAACATGTGCCTTAATTCTAGTGGTGATTATGTGCTGTATCTGCTACATGAAAGTGTGTTTTATTTTGGTTCATGACTTAGGAAAAGCTACTTTGCGGATACGCCTCGTATATCACCCCCGGACTTAAAATGTAGCAACAGCCTTTCATCATTCTTCTAGTACTCCAATCCTACTAATCGCCATATATGATTTTCTTAATATTCCCTTAACGTAAACGCACTGAAACACTGTATTCAAATACGAGAATTGCAAAAGATATAGAGGACTTTAAAGCAAAGAATACTGCACGGAGATGTAGATATTCCACCCCAGGTGGAAAATCTCTACTAAAATACGAAATTAACAGTAATCTAAGTACATTCCCCTAACTCAATCATTATCCGTACACCCGCTGCAGTCTATTAAATACTCTTGACATTACACTTAACTTCACCAAATAATTTTTTTCAATATGTCCAAACAGAATCAACTTCGGACTACTGCCCGATTCTTCTCTCTTATGACGTCTGCGCAAAATTTAACGAAAATAATCGTGTGGACGCAGCTTAAGAATAGGAGATGCTTTCCTTACCGTTCCCAAGGTCGACGATCAGTCTCAGTAATATATTTCACTCCATGCACTCCTGTGTTGGCGGCAAAATCACAGTATGTTGCCCAAAAAGCCCGCGGGGCACTGCTTTTAGATTCCCGCTGCATACTCTTCAACGTTGCGCCCATTAGATTAAACGTTTTCTTCACAATTTTGATATGAAATTTTGATAAGTTGGCTCTACTTCATAATTTTGAGCTACAATTGTGATTAAAAGTTTATTCATAAAAACGTAGCCTCTGGGCGAATTACATTTGAAACATAAATATTCGAAGTCGTTGTTCAATTATCTCCGGAATCTGTACAGAAACAAAGCCAGAGATATTACATGATACATGGTCAATAAAACTTTAATACCTTCACTTTACTTTATTTGAATGAGTTATCAATTAAAACAGAAAAATAAACTACAAAAATAAATTAATAAGTTATTCATTTTCAAACCTTGCTAACTTCATCTTAGTAGAGTTAATACACATTGCAAACTAAATTAACAGGGCCTGAATCAATTTTGAAAGGTAAAGCCCCTCAAACACCCAAGCAATATCGCTAGGTTTTTACAGCGTTGATGTCTACTTTCCGCTTCAATCGAATTAGAAGAAATAGTGTTCGTTTTATAAAAACTTTGTAATTTGATTACGTTGAATTAGAAAAAAATCTTTACGAATCATAAAACGATAGTGAAATAACATTAATAATGTTCGGTATTTAGAAAGGCTTCAAAAAATTTACCGTTAGATAATGTTTTTTCTTCTTATTTTATGATATCAATATGTGTAATCAATTGTCCACACCGCGATCTCTTAATCGTTTATTTAAATTAAGTTTTTTGTTATTAAAACAATGAAACATTGTATGACTCACCATTAAAAACATTGATGTAATTGTTGACATCTTTCCAAATTTCAAAATATAGAAGTCAGTGTCTTTATTTGACGAGGTGCACGAGGTTCCTTCAGACGATGCTGGATCACGAGAGCACTGGCGTCGCACTCATGCTATAGCAACTATCGACCAGCGCCACGTGGCCGAGGAGTGCAGAGGGTGTCTCGCGTCACTGCTTTGAACTTGCTACACGGAAAGTCGGGGGAGTCGCGTGCAGCACGTGCTATCTCAGGCGTTTTATTTGTTCGACCTTTTTGCGTGTTTATGTAGCTAATGGCCACTCCAGGATTAGTTTTGACCGATTTCCACACGTTTCAAATCGAAGATGCGCGGACGATAGAAAAGGAAAGAGAATTTTAAAAAATAAGAAAAAAAATCATTCAATATTTTAGAAAATAATATATTAATTCAGTTATGAAACTAATTAATGTCAATTCAAGGAGGCGTAACACACACCTACGTAGAATTCCTAAGGATCTGCTTTATAAAACTTTCATTGGTCTTCAGTTTATACTTCATTTCTTCAGTTCAGGCTTAAACCTCTCAGTAGACGATATTGATGTATTCTCCCGATCAGGCTCGCAGCTCCTTTTAGCCAAGCAAGGCCTCTCTCAAACTGAAAACATCTCCCTCTAATGTTGTGGGTTCAATTCATTGTTGTATTGTTTGGTGGTTGCAACAACTTGGTGAATTAATTTCAGATTTACAATCCAAAAATTATTGCCAATAAACGATTGCAAGAACTTTTGCCTCTCGTAAAAAGTGACAATATATTTAGTTTGATCACGAGAAATACTATATAACTAATGCCCTGCAGAAGCAAAAATGCTACTGAACACAAATTATTTTACCGAAAGGTTGAGCACACACTGCTCAAAAACAACAAATAAAATACTATTGTATAACGCAGCAATAAATTAAATATTTTTACAAAATCTGTGTTTGCGAATACTACAATAACGTAGAATAGTATCACACAGAATAAAGAAGTTCTTTACATATCAAGAATTGAAAAAAAAAGGTGCTGTTTCATAACACAACAAGTGAATAGAAAAATTTAATGGTGGGCGGTCTCTTCTTTGGAGCCTTTCTGTCCCATTACGTCAGCTTTGTCGTAAGCATTAGAATTAATCCGGGGCGCGCAGTGTAAAAATAGGCAATATAACGTAGTACTCGTAAAATGTGGCGTCGCCGACGCTGTAAACTGTTTTAAAAATAGTTCATTTAGTTGAAAATTTCTTTCATACTTCATTTCTTTCATTCCCAGCTTCGTTCTTCCAGTATCTGGCATCGGCCTTACCAAAGAATCCTAGTAATTGATAATGTTACTCATTTTCAAATGTTCCCAACACCCGCAAATGGCCTTGTATCCTACCTCCATACGGGATATGAACTGGCCTTATTGCAATTTCACAATTATAATCGCCGAAACAAATACTTACAGATTTTGGTGATGCTAATAATTAAATTTTTGTTCAGCCAGATTAATATGCTTTTTTGCCCATATGCACATAGTATATTTGCATTAGCACAAATGCTAAATGCAAATGATTCCGAATTAGTTCCAAAAATTCTGCCGCAATATCATTTTTAACATTTGATTCTTCCCCGAATACTTTCATATTTTTCTCCCTTAATTTTTGAAGAGATTAAAACTTCACTAACTCAGTCTAATTTTTGTTCACTTCTACTTCGGCAATTACTCTATTAATCGTTTTGCATGCAAATCTAACATTAAAAGGCGACTATTCTGTATACTTGTGTGAACAAGGTGTTCATTAAATCAAATCAGAATAAGTTGTAGATCACAGAAATTTGAAATTAGGTATTTGCACGCTTATGAAAGTGAAAAGTCGAACATAAGGATATTTATTCATTTTCTAGCATTACTCACAGTTTTGTTTCCTCTGTATTCATTTGAAATTCAAATTTAGTAAGTTCCGAGGCAATACTATTCGTATGTTTTCGCAAATTTTTTTTAAAATACATTTGATAATTCTAATCAAAATTGAAATCAAATCTGCAGCATGATTCTATTGGTAATTCAATTCACATAAAGACGTCAACGTTAGTGTTGCCAACGTCGTGAAATAAAATTATGGCATATTGAGTGAAATATGCCTTCTGGTACTAGTGTTTAATCAATGCCATCTTCGTAGATCTATTTAGGAGGCGTTGGTTTCATTCCTGGCATCACTTAGATTGCAGCGGAAAAGCACGAAAAACCACATTTTGGAAATTTATTTGAATCTTTTGGTCGTATCCGAAAACAAATTATCAGTTCCCCATTAGGAAACCAAGATGCGTCGACTGATATCTCATAATTCTCGATTGGTGCACGGGAAGTGGTCTAGCCGTGAGTGATGGAGGCACACATCTGAACAGACGAACGTAAGCACACTCGTAGTTTTACTCAAATACTGTGAAGGGTAATTTTTTCAATCAAAAAACGAAACCCTTTCATTAATTCTAAATTTTTTCGGGTTCCTGCGTATATTCAGTATATAAAAAAAACTTAGTGTTAACAAAACAGAACGTACTTTTCCCCCCGTATTTTCACGCTAAATTACGCAAAAAGTACTAAAATTTTTGAATAATTGTTTATGACCTAATTTCAAAATCTTTAAGTAACATATTTCATTAAGAGAAAAAATATCTAACTTTAATATTTTATTTGTAAAAAGACGTCGGAAAAATTTTGAAGTTTTGCAATTTACGAAAAAGTCAGGATTTTCAACGAATGTGAGGCCTGTACCATTTTATTAATTATTCTTCACACTATTCAACACCAAAATTTAATAAAAAACAATGGACACATTTTTTTGAAACTTTTGAAAATGTCTACCGGCTTTATGTAAAGTACCCCACAAAATTGTAATATCGATTTCAAATTCAAAATGTAGTGACATCATCCAATTTAATTGAAGAATATCAATTTTGGAAAAAATATGCAGAACAATTTAGCCGCTAGCGTGGTTCACAGACGGACAAACGTTTTGCGTTCTTCGATTTTTCGGTATCAAGGACCCAGAAAACATGTATATTTTTTTCTAATTTTTTTCTAAATTTAGCGACTGTAATAGTTTTTCTGTCGAAAATTTGCCGTTTTTTCGTTCAACATTATATAAGTTTCTCTCTACTCCCTAGGGAGAAAGTAGAAAACAAGCAGCCGACAATAAAAATAGAGTGAGATAGTAAAAATTAACTTTGCAAGCGTTAATTATGAAAATGATAACAAAATGAAAGAAAATAAACGTCATGGCAAATACAATGGAATTTTAACACATCACAAACAATAGACTATTTCTTCAAATAAAGTTCATTATATTTTTAGATAATTTTTTGCAAGCATTTTATAGAATCTTACCCCATCATACACATTTCCACGCAAAATTAAATCTGGATTCCCCAAAGTCCGATTCAGACCTCCGTTGATTAATTCCATTTTTTTACTCTTACACCCTACAGCACACGACCAACTTCCTCTCTTTTCAACACTTTCACAATATTTAATACAAACTCGTTCCGTCAAAAATCATTACTTATAATACTTATTTTGTCCTAACAATTAGAGACAATTAATGTGCGAGTGATCAACTCTTACAAGCCAATTAACTTAAATTTTCAAAACACCTTAAAGACTTGTACAATCGAACAGGCAGTAAAAAAATTGAAAAATAATTTTATACAATTAGCGCATACAAAATTGAATTATATTATGGGTAACTCTTTTTTTGTAAACCGAAGCAATATGTTTTGAAATTTAATTGCGCAAAAGTAATTTTTGACAGGCTGAAAGCTTTACGTGCCTTAAATGTTTAAAGAAAAATGTATTTAATTTAATTTTATGCTTTAATTACATAATTGAAAAATAATTAATTCAACTTTTTTTCGTAAATGTCGAAAGCTAAATGGCACTCCATGACATGCCTGCCATACCGTGGATGAGCTCCTGTGCCTCCCTCTTATGAATAAGCTCACAAAACAATCCACTCGAGGGTTATACATGAATATGATTTGTTCATTAAGGAAATATTCACTTCGTTCGTTCGTGTCGAATACGAATTCGGCTCTAAGAATTTCAGTATAAAGGAATGTATGTTTTTCTTGGTTCCTAATATCCATTTATTTTAGTATTATATTATTCATATGTTTAAAACCAGGAATTGTTTGTTTTCTGACATTTTATAAAGATGAAATGTGGATATTTTAGATGGTTTAAAATGTTGACTAAAATCTTTGCAGTAGTTTTGCAAAGATGTTTGTTTTGCAATATTGTTGACAAATTTGTTTTGATAGCAGTGTTCCAGATTTGGATTTCATATGTCCATACAGAAACAAAAATTGTTTTATAAATTAATATATTTATTTTTAAATAAATATCTGTAGAGATAAATCTCTTCCAGATTCAAAATTACAATTTTACGATCTATAAACAGCTTAGAAGTCGAATTTGTAACTGTATTCGATAATACCCATTGCACGAGTACTTTTTCATAAGAAATTCATGGTAATCCTAACAATTCCCATTCCCATGACTCTGTTGGTAACCAGGGCAACGTTCAAGGCCAAGTCTGTGGTTTGAGGAAAACATAAAGAACGCATCAGCAACACCATCACAGAGGACTTTCAGTGGATGGTAGCGGTGTAGTGGATCAATATCAGGATGTTGATGTTTGATAGCTGCGACCAACAGCTAACGATAATGAGAGGTATCATTAGCGTCACTTAAAAAAATGAACATAATACCTCAATTTGTACATCTTGGCCTAAAACATTATTGGAATAATTTCGTGACACAGTAAGAATTTCAAACTTGAAAATTGATTTGAAAACAAGTATATACAGAACAAGTACTGCATTTAGAATTCAAACTGTTCTCTCGAGTACATTGAAGGCTACGTAGAAACTGATTTATATCATGGCTTGGTTTCTGTATTTTTGGGCATGCAATTATATTTTGTTAAATATTACGCGGACCTCAGAGAATGGACAAGTATAAGACGGACTGTTCTCTCATATATGAAGTATTGGAGGTTTATCTCCTACTTTCATAGATGGCAGAACATTTCATGAGATATTGGAGGAATACTACGGGAATTACTCAGTACGTTGCGTCGTAATGTGTTTTTCTGGTACACGTGCACCTGATAATCCAA